AAGATCCCCTCGATCACCTGGAGACCTTTCAAGCTCTTATGCATTTGCACGCCGTGCCAGATGCAATCATGTGCTGAGCTTTTCCCACTACACTTAAGGGATCAGTAAGAGTTTGGTTCAATAAGCTGAAGCCAGGAACCATCAATACCTTCGAAGAACTGAGAAAGCAATTTGTGAGCCACTTCATTGCAGGTCAAAGACATATGTAATACCCCTTTATTTTAAAGAATTATTTAATTAAATTAATTGCCTTTAAATGAATTTATTTATTTTAAATTAATTATTTGTTTACTTGTTTATTTGATTTATTGGTATGATGATGCGCTTGATTGTTGATTGATTTGTTGGCGTATTGATTTTTATTTGTATGGTATAACTTGGTTGTTAATTATTGTTTAATTATGTGCTACATGTATTTAGTTCTTTTAATATTAATTAAGTGTTTATTTATTTAATTAATTAATTAAATTTAATGGATTAGGCTTGAATTATTTGGACCAAAGGATTTGGGTCTTAGGCTGGAGAGGGAAGCCTCAAAAGGATTTGGGATGGTTTAAAGGCCCATGAATTTATGCATGACTATATATATATATATACATATGTATATATAGAGAGAGAGAGAGAATTATATATTTATAGTAAATATATATGTATAGGACTTTATGCATATATATGGTAAGTATAGTTAAAAAAAATTTATAAATATATATTATATATATATATATATATATATATATATATTTATATGTTTTATGTATATTAATATAGTTGGAGTCCTACATGGAGGAGGATTTGAATTGGCAATATATATTATTTATTTATTTATATTTATATGCGTCATGTATATTAATATAACTAGAGTCCTACATGGAGGAGGATTTGAATTGGCAATATATATTATTTATTTTTATTGTGTGAGGAATATATATATAGATATATATATATAAAATAAATAATTATATATATATAATATAATATATGTGTATATATTTTATTTACGGTTATTTTTATTTTTATTTGGGTAATCATACTAGGAATATGATTATGGTATTAATGTGTATAAATATACACATAAGGTTATATTGTTAAAAGGTTTTTCACGTTAGAAAAAAAAAAAAAGAGAAGTAGAGAAAAAAAAGAAAGAAAGGCTAACAACGAGAAGGCCGAATCAAAGAAAGATGTCGTCATATTTGGAGGAGACAACCAAGGTTGAAGCATCGGTTTCGTTTTGAAACTTTTAGACAAATTCTTTTCTAACTCTCCTCTTAGAACCCATAGGTTTATCACTTTGGGTATCAAAATCTATAGATTAAATTGGCATGTTAATCACCTAAACATAGGATAAATTAATGTGAAGAAATTGATTAGAAGAAAAGGAAGAATCTTTCTTCAATTAGGAAACTTTCTCCAATTCCTGTTTTAGTATTCTGTCTATATCTCTTTCCTCGAGTGTCAAAACGGCTCAAACTCCTCATGGTTGAATGGAAATTCGATTATCTATAATTTTGTATTTCACGAAAATTTCGTGAAACGAATGTTTACCTTATCAAAACTGGATTGGAAGACAGTACGAATTTTGTATATATTTATATATCTTATCCCATAATTGTTTTAACCAATTTGGATAATTTGTATTGATTGGGTGTTGACCAAATAATTCTTAATATTTATATTTAATGTGTTATTTGGACATTGCTAAATTGTGTAACTTAAATGTTATATACGCCTATGTATTATACTGGCACGCATAAATAAATAAATATAACCTAATCAACTAATAAGTTGTTCATTGATATTTATCATGTTTATATATATGATGGTGGTGTTGATGAAATCATAATAGGTTGTTTATTCAAATTAATTATATGCTTATAACTTGTATGGAGTGCCTATGTATGATTTATTTCATAGTTAGTTGTAAAGTTTTGGTACATGGTTAAATTGGAAGTATGGATGAGTTGCTAAAGGCATAAATAAATTGTCTTATTAATTGTATGAATAAAATACATACATGGGAAACATTGATGAATTGCTAATTAATAGTATGGATAAAAACATACTTTTGGAGGTATGGATGAGTTGCCAAGACATAAATAGATTGTCATTTAATAGGCATGGTTGATTTGCCAAAGTATAAATGTATTACTTGTAGAGGCATGGTTGAGTTACTATCATATAAATAAATATACTTCTAGAGACATGGTTGATTACCAAAACATAAATAAATATTTGTGGATGCATGGATGATTTGCCAAATTATAAATAAATTGCTAAGTAAGTTAGATGATTAAATATACATCTATGGATATTGTGTTTATAAGTTGGAGGTAATAAATATTCTTATATTATAATAAACTAATGTTTAAAGGATAATATATTATTTTATAATATTAATAAAATAATATTAGTGAAGGCATGGTGAGTTGCCAAAATATAAATCTTTATTAGGTGATATTTATAAATAAAATCATACATTGGTGGGTATTGGGATTTGAATTAAAGAAAAATATGTCTTAGATTATTATTTATTATTTAAATCGTTAAATAACTATTTAAATATGGAATTTAGGTTTAAATGAGTTTTCTCTTAAAAGTGGAATGTACTTGATGGTTAGTTTAAATATGGAGGTAGTCTTATCATTGTTTATGGTCTTGGATTTCAAAGAATATATTAATGAACATATTCTTTATATATTTATATATATAATATATATGTATCATCTTATATTAAAGGTTAAAGCTTCAATTAGGATGATTTTGGTTAGAGATGTTTTATTTATTGGTTTTCAGAGGCTTGGTAGAGGGAACTTACTCGTGGGTCTAACCCACTATTTATTTTTCAGGTTATTAGAAGTTTCAGTCTCGAGGCTGAGGATCCGCAGTTGGGAGACTGTTATTCATCTACTCATCTTGTTTACTTTTTAGTATTGTTATTTATTGTTAGATGTTTGGTGAATTAATAGTTTATGATTTAGGGGTCCTTGACTTATAGGATTTTCGAGTTGTATTTTAGAATTTTAAATTTATGTAATTTATTTTTGTAAATGAGGTTTTATTTTATTAATAGAATTTCACTCAGCGATTTATTCATTCTTTTTATTCTTCTTGTATTCTATGTTCGCTTAAATACTAAATTGTTTTGATATTCCCGTATTTTCGGGTGTGAGCCTGGCCAACCTACATGTGGAAATTCAAGGGTATCACAGTTGGTATCAGAGCATTCCAGGTTCAAGTCCCTAGGGTGTCTTTCGTTATGTGGATTCCGCGTTGCGTCTCTTGATACTTAGAGCCCATAATAGGATTCGTTGTATTCTATCTACGGTCCGTTAGAACGAGTTGATGTCTATTAAATTCTGTAATTATAAAATGGCTGACATTATAAAAAAGAGGAGGTCTGATGAAGTAAGAGAATACGTATTCGATTCATATTCGAGTTGTATTCGATTTCTCTATTAAGGAAGAATCTAGAATTTAGAATTAGAGATCAAAGATTCTAATAGAGGAGATTGCGTAGTATCCAAAAAAAAAAGATGCTGAGTCTCAAAGATGAGTAGTCATGTGAAAGAGATATTATTTGCTAGAAGTATAACGAATGATATTAAAAGGATGAGAGCTATTTGACTTACATATAGTTAGCTTTATGTATATCTCAGAAAGAGATGTGTGTGGAGCATTTTTCGAGAGTTTGGGGATTTGATAAAGTTATTATTAGAACGAACCATTGGATTAGATATATATTTTTTGTACCCATGAAAGCAGCATTGGTATTATCGTGTGATTGGCTTTATAAAGTCATGAAGGGTATTTTACCATTAGGGTAGAAGAAGGATAAGGGGCAAGCTCTTGGTATTCGGGTAGGCAAACATAAGTTGCCTTTATTTATGTTTAAGGGTTATGATTCAAGATTGGATAATTTCTTGCTAATTTAAGAAAGAAAATTATATAAATCAATTTAATAAGATTGATTTCAAGAAGAAAAAAAAATTAGTGAATGCTACCTTAGAATAGGGTAGACTTGAGAGTACCCACAGGAACATTACCTGAGGGAAGAGTACCCAAGGGAAGATTACCCAAGGGAACATTACCCAATGGCAGAATACCCAAGGGAACATTACCCAATTGCAGAGTACCAACATTACTCAAAGACAGAGTATCCACGGGAACATTACCCAAGGGAAGAGTATCCAAAGGTAAAAAAATAATAATAATAATTCTACTATTCAATGAACAGTGCCCAAAGCTAGACGAGCAAGCTTGGGAATGGGGGGCAACTGATAGGGAAAAATAAACCTAACCTATCTTGACCTAACGATAGAGACAACTAAGTATTGACCAGCCGCCAAATCTCTTCTACTTTCGAAAGATAATATTTCGTTATCAAGATAACGATTTCCATTGAATAAGTTCTATGGAATAATGACAAATCTTATCAAGGATAAGATTTTTATATGATAAGTTCCATGGGATAAGAATTATGATATTCCCTTATCAAAAATAAGGGAAATGACGATAAAGAGAAAGACGACTAGGAAATAATCTATGACAAAAATTATTATTAAATTCCTGCCTTTGTTTTAAACCTTCGGTGACTGACTTGATCGTCAGAGAACTCTTAGCAGGCACCACATCGGTAATGTCAAGATTTATCGATCTTCTACTCTTTTCTTTGTAGGAAAACGGTGTCGTATTATATCGCGTAAATTTCACCAACACACAATCATTAATCTATTGTGTGCTTTTAAATATTAAGGCTAACGCATTACGCGCTTTCACCCTTGTGTGGAATTTGAAGGTGGGCAAATATACGTACTTACCTAATAAAGAGAATAGTACTTTTTCTTCCAATCTATTTGACCTATCCTCCCCTGTCAAATGAAGTTTAAGATAACCGCAATTATTAAAATGACCAAAATGCCACTACTTTCTCACTTAAATGACTGAAGCATATCCTAAGCAACTAACACAGTATAAAATTTGGAAATGACATCTTTTGGCATTAATTAAAGTGAAAGAAAACTATAATTGAAAAGGCTATCTATGATACACATGCTTTAATATGGAAGATATAGAAAGCAACTTTACATAATAGGTGAGCTAATGGCACAAAACAACACAAACACATGATGCAAAGTAACAATTGCATCTAGCCACTATCTCTATGCAAGGCTTCAAAGTATATTTCAAATCTTTAAACAACTATAACAATTTCTTTCATCCTATCACTTAGGACTCCATGTATTGAGAGGGTGGAGGGCTTGTTTTCGTCTTATCAGGACCTGCAAGATGAATTTTACATCACATCACAAATGTGTACGCATGTTGTATATAATTAAAAATCTCTTGGTACTAGGCACAGTAGAATTTTTTGGTAAGATAGAGGAGCATTTTAGGTGTTTCAATAAACTTAAGATAGATCTCTTGGACGTACCATAAACCCCACGCATCTCGACTTCTCGCCATTCTTGGACAAGGGCGCAACAGCAACACATCAAGTGTGAGAGAAAATCATCAAATAAACCTCCCTGCCAAATATAAACAGCATAAACATTAAAACTAGCTGTAATTGCTATCTGTTGGGAAACCTCAAATCCAAAACGTGACCACTAGTAGCAACATATTATGTACAGCTGGCTTGTAAATGCATTGCATCTAATTTATCTGCATGATTGGATAAAAAATTGCTTTTGGATAATCTGATCTAGCATTTACAAAGTGGTTGGATCAAGTAGCATCTAATCAGGTAAAAATAAATAAAAATGAATTTGTTAAGTGTATTATGCACAATTATTGATCTAGCACTAGAAATGTAGAATAAGGAAACAGATCTTTATTAGATCCATTATACTACACAAGGTGCGTGTACAACAGGGATGACGGCAGAAGGGAAAAACAAAGGTAAAAGCCACTTGTCCACTTCATGTTTCCAGTACATAAAGATATTGCGTTGCTGCAGTAGGGGAATTACCGTGATATTCAGCGTCTTGCGAAGCTTCCTCCGGATGCAGCAAGTATAGCAACAGCATGACATTATCAACGAATAAGCCATTAATTCATTACAGGCTTCTGCTGAAGCTGATGAACGTAGACAATAAATATTTGTGTAAGCTTTCAGATAGTACCAAAATCATGAATAAAGTTTAAAAACTTTAGCAATGCTGCAGTTGAAGCTAAAGATGTGAGGAAATTGAAAAGTACAACACTACAAACCAATTATGATACAGCTCCCATTAAATTAGAATCCATTAAATCAGAACATCTACAAATATAAATTCCAATTTGAGCTCAAATTCTATTATTTTGGTTGGGAGAGAGCAGATATTTAAAGCTGGCCCGGAACAGGAAATATTGGGTATGGCGCTAGACTTAGGAGATGGTTGCAAAACTCTCACTCTCCCATAGTTTTAGGAGCACTATGAGGGATTACATGTGCTATCTCACAATCTTCTAATATGAAGGAAATTGGATCATTTACTCTCCTCTCAAAGAGGTTTCCTTCCCGAAAAACATCTGATAGTGTATGGCTCAATTAAGGTAGTTCAAGAAAGGTTGGGAAATTTACTTCACAGATTGATTAACCAATTCTACAAACAATCACCAATGACACACTGTTGGCAGGCAAGAACTTTCAAAGTTATTTTAATATAGATGTTTACAACTTCGTTCAACAATTTAAAGGACAATGCTTATTTCACTAAAAAAAGGTTTCCCTTATTAGGTTGCTATTCCTAGCTTTGATTTTCACAGGAGATTTTTTTCTTACCAAAAAAAAGGTCAATTTTTTTTCAAGAAATTCTTCCTTAAAAAAATAATAACAATAGCAAAGAAGGTGAATATGTTCCATCTGGAAGAGGAGAAAATATCCTAGAAAGATTTGTGAAATATTACAAATATTTCCCCAAAAACTGTTGCAGCAGAGGCTGAAAACAGTTATGCAGCTGCTCTTCCAGACATATAAAAGAAAACCAATAGCATTTTAATATTTTCAATGGTTGAGTGCACACGGAGAGCTTTGAAATTCAGGGAACATCTGGAAAAAGGAAAGAAAAATGAAATTTTCTAATAAACATCCATCAGACTCTAAACATGATGTAAAAATTCAACCACTGTTCATTTTTACATCATTGTCGAACAAACAAATGCTTCATCAGAGTCATCAACATAAGCACGTATTACACGGTATTTGAATTAGACAATACAGAGTATGTAACAATATACGGTACAACTCCTCCCAAGTTTTATTAGCAGCTCACAAATAGACATTCGATACCAAAGTTTGAACAAAACCAAAAAACTAATAACCAAGAGCGAGAATGCATAGATATGAAAGCATCGAGATATAACTCAATCACCCAGGTTCTAAATCTTATTAGATGCAATCAATCACGAGGTAGTGTAGTTTTGAACAACAATTGGAGCTACTTACACATATGCCTGTTAGTCGCCACAGAAGCAATCTTCGAAAATGTGCCACAAGGATAGAAGAAAGTTTTTAAACCTGCAAAGTACAGATGAGACGCTTAGAACACAACCAAGTATATAGTAATAACAGCATAGCATGCTTAGCATTTCAGTTACTCGACATAGCACTGTCTATTAGCAGCAAATATTGGAAATATACAGAATAAAGGAAAGCTGTTATCGGAATGTCAGGAAGGGAAATGCCAAAAATACACAAGCAGGAGGACCTGAGCTAGAAAGGACCGGAAGGAAACAGCCCATAGAAGCCACATAATCAATAAACAACTTCCTCAGAGTGAGCAAGAAGAAAGAATATGAAGAAGAAGAAAAAACACCACAGAAAGAACCTTTTTTTTTTTTTTTTTTCGTATTTTATGACTAGTTTCATGCAATGGCTACCAGGTCAATTATAAAAAAGTATAAAAACAACGACGCAACCAAAGATGGACAGGTTTGAGATCCCTGGTTGAGCCAATACAAGCCATGCATAGGCCACAAGTAGGTGTATCAGTACCAGATTGGTCACGAGGCAATTCAAAATTGAAAAGTGGCCTACTTTTTCTTTGAATTATAGAAGTGGAAAGGAGACGTGGAACCAAGATTCAAATTTGAACAGAACCCGCAAAAGATTGAGCAATAATGGATGCTTCGTATCCCATCCAACTAACACAATCTCTTAAAGATATAGACCCCCCCCCCCAACAAATAAAAAAATAAAAAAGTAGCAGAAGAAAAAGAAAGAGATAAAAGAAGACCAAACTTCACATTAAACGCTGAAAATGACACAACATATGCAAGAATGCTCCCATGGGCCATGATGATCCATGGCAGCAACTAATGCTCTGTATTCCATGTCCAATGAGTGCCTGTCATATGCTCAAATTTTTCAATGAGTTTACAGTGGATTCATACAGTTCACATCAAAGTAGACAAAAAAAAAAAAACAAAAAAAAAAAATGAAAAAAGAAAAAACAAATACATAAAATAAAATAAGTTCCCAACTATGAGCTAAAACTGAAAAAACTTCAACAAGTAAAAAAAAAAAACACTATAGGTTCAAGTATAGGTGTCAACTCTTAACATCCAAGCGCATTTTCCATAATATCAAGAATTTGTTCATGTAAGAAGACAAGAATGCCAAAATGACACTAGATGAAGCATGCGCATAGATTACATTATAACCCCAAGCCCATAGCATACGAAACCAAAAACACTATTACCTAAACAATGGAATTCATAGTAGAAATGGGTTCATTCTTTCTTAACCTGTATTTGAATAATAACACCAAATAATCACAATAATAGTAAGGGGTAAAATCACAAAACCCCCTGTACTATCAAAATTGATCACATTACCCAATTACCCCCTGATCTAACAAATAACCCCCTAAACTATAAACCTGATCATCTATGACCATTCCGTTATGGAGCTGTTAGTTATAGTGTGAAATGACGACATTACCCAAACGACATGTTTGGATCTTCAAGTGAACAAAACTCATGTTGCCCAAACTGATGAAAAGAACCAAAATCCCCAAACCACATCGCCTGGGTCTTGAACCAAAATCACGAAACGAATTATTTCTCCTTTCACTGTTCGAAGACCAAGGTGGTTTGAGCAATTTGTTGTTTTTCATCTCTCACTCTCTCTCGATGTATATATATATGATCAGAATTCACTCAATTCCTATTTCTCATACAAACTACATCAGATGGAAAACAAAGAATCCAAGTCACAAACCAAATTATCATGTATGAAATGTAAACCATAGTTGATTACTTCAACGTACAGAACAGAACAATTACTAATATAGAAGTTGAAATGTTGTAGTCATTCAATTGTATGTAACTAGAAAACGGCATGAATTCAAAAATTATCCCACATTTACAATCACGTACCAACACAATTCACCATATGTGGCTAGGTAAAAACCAGAGAAAATAAAGGCCTATTACAAATAAAACCCTCCATGACTATCATACAATTTCTCCCCGCCCATGTACACCTCCTCACCCTCCAAAACTTTAATCACCTTTCAGATTGGAACAAATATGCCTCCATTTGTGGAAATCATGATCATAATCCAAAACCAGACTTTTAATAAGACTTAATCTACACCTAATCAATAAGAAGTAACTAGCAAACAAGTATCAGAAAAAGAAAATCAATTCATATGTTAAGAATCACTGTACCAAATGTGGCTAGGTAAAAACCATAGAAAAAAAGGTCTATTACAAATAAAACTCTCCATGACTATCATACAATCTCTCACTGCCCATGGATACCTCCTCACTCTCCGAAACACCACCTCCTCTCCCCACTCCCCCAAAAAAAAAAAAAAAAACAGAATATAATAATAATAAGCAAGGATATACGTGTGTGCATATAATAAACCTAATGATCTAGTGTTTGCGATAGAAGTAAAAGAAAAGTAAAATAGAAGGATCACTACCTTCCTCTCTATAATTCATGGGAGGTGAAGCAAATATAGATTTTAAATTACATCCAGATTTACATCTTACATGTGTGTCTGCATGTAAGATGTAATATGATAACAACATGTTAAGGTTAAATTTTTTTGTAATAAATTTAATAACAATAACAACAACAGAGAGATGGAAGGAAAAACCAAAAAAAAAAAAAAAAAAGCCACTCTTAGGTTTGAAGTATGAAAGACAAGTACGAAAAGCAGTTTACTTATAACCACTCTGATCAACTAACTGAATACCAAGGGATATGATAATAGAACATGCACAAAATATGTCTTGTAACTGAATATCAAGTGATATGATAGTAGAACATACACAGAGTAGGTTCTGAACAACAGCCTAGTAAATCTGAATGCCATTCTTCATGCTGGTGGGAACCACTCCTGGACAGCAGATCATGTCCGGATGAAACTGAAGATGTGTTTCTGCATATAATTATATAGTATCAGAGAAACCTAAAGTTTACAGCACATGGGGGCAATGGAACTAAATATAACATGCACATTGTCATTCAAGAAAGCTCAAGAGGCCATTTCACATGAACTCCCAGGAAAATAGTAAGGAATAAAAAGCTGAAATCCTTTGTGTAATATACGTAACTAAGTATAATAAAACTTTTCAAGATTAAGATTTTTCAGAATTCCTGCATTTGAAAACTTGAGATAGCTTGACACTACACAGATTTCTGCACATTTAGATCACACCATTTACAACAATAAAACTTGTAGTCAAGCTATGAAGCATCCAGGAAGTTGGTAAAACAAAATCCTTGATGGAACAGTGAATTACACAATAAAGCTAATATTTAACTGTTCAAGTTAGCATAGATATTACAATGAATAACACAATAAAGCCAATACATGAACTGTTTAATTTAGGGGCCATTCTTGGTTCATCGGTAAAATGCTAGGCTATCAAGCGTGAAGACTCAAAGTTCAAATACTGAGAGTTGCCACTTCATGCAAACAATGCCAAAGGTTGAGCAATTATCCAATCCACCCCTGGACACCTTTGATTAATGGAGATGGGCAATGACCCTTTTTATGTACCACATGTGTTTTGGCACCATGCGAAATTGAAGTGCATTTAGGAACCATATTTCATTTAAATTCCTATGCAAAAGAGAAAAAAAAAAACCAACCTTTGAGTTGAACGAGTTACACTTCTCTGAGTGTCACTTTCATAGTATGAATGTTCTTTATCACTGTTGACATCTGAATAATTAGGCTCCAGCTTCTTGGAATTTCTTATGGGTGAACTTTTCTCTGGTATCTGTAGAGAATTCGTAGCAACAGTTTCTGTGACATCAATCAGATGCTGAATTACTTCGCATTGGCCCACATCCAAATTAGCTTGTGAGCGTTGTAGTTCTAATTGAAGCTTTTCGTTTTCTTTTTGAAGTGCCTCATTAAAAGGCAAGTTTGGGTAGGAACAAGAAAGAGTTTTCTTCAACACCATCGTGTCATTTTTTGAGGGATCTGGTTTCAGAATCACATCTTGCACCCTCCTATCCTCATCATCCAATGTGTATTCACGTTGATCCTTTTCAATATCTTCCAATCTTTCCTGTCAAATTGGAGGAAGGAAAGATTAATCAAATTTTTAAAAGGGTTACAAGATAGACTAGCACATAAGTTATCAAGCAAACTGTAACTTAAGAGTAAAAATGCTGTCCTTGTCTCATTTTGTATTATTATGGCCAAACCATATCTAATGAGTGTGTTTATTAGAGTGCAATACACATATCCACACAGAAATATAGTCTGCGACTAATAATGGAAATTGTGTATATATGCATGTGCAAATGATTGTGTTTAGTAACTCCTATTGATCATTTCCTTTATGCTTGTTTCCCTTTCACCAGTCACAATGCAAAGGAATGGTTAGCCTAACCATATGGCACCACAATGCTACGGACCAAAATGTTAATTCTTGAGTATAGTGACACCAAGCTATACTCTTCCCCTAATACTGAATAGAACTTCACATAAAACTTCCACTTTCTACAGAAAACAACACTTTTGTATGAAAGACATTCATGGTTTAGTGTATCAGACCATTTGCATTCATACTGAAACATGAAAAGTTATCAAAGTATTATAACTTACAGTCATTAAATATCAACTGAACATTAGATAAGATGAGGAACCTTTGACCATATCGTGAACGCTTTAACCACTGCCAGGTTTTATATACAGTTTCTTTAATAAATTTGGCTACTGTGAAACAAACTAGTCCCGACAGCAATATACCAGTGATGAAAGTTCAAGCTGTCAAACTCAAGCATGAGAACAGGTGTTCAATTCTGAAAGGCGCACTTTACACAATTATTGTCAAAGGTCAAGTCTGTACCTAATCTACCTCTCCCAGCACCTTCAATTAAGGTAATCAGGAAATGCCCTTTCTTAACACATACTAACTAAATCAGCAGGAAAATCAAGTCTGATACGTAGCAGTAATATATTAGGTTCCACATGGAGTGAAGGGTTGGTAAAAGAAAATAAAATTTCAGCGGCAAACAACATATCTGAGAGGGGAATCAAAAAAAATATTGCGGAAAATTCCAAAACTAAGTCGAATCAATAAAAACATGCATGTGTGCCTTGATTTCAAACAATTTGGGGGAAAAATTAGTAAAAAAACAAGAGTAACTTGCAAATGCTAGAAAAAATTAATAAAATATACTTGTAAGAAAAAGCAATAGCAACCGAAAATAAAAAATTAGAAAGAAGAAGAGCAATATTTAAAATACCCTGAATCGAGCATTATCCACAAGAGTGATGAGGGGAATTATCTTCAAGTATCGGTCAATTTCGTTTTGAGCCTTTCTGAACTGGTACACGATGTTCCATCCCATGGCTAGCAAATAGAGATAGCTCCTGTCTTGGCAACTGTTGACTAAAATGTAGGATCTCCTCAATGCATCCTCAAGTTGCTCAAGTGGCTCTCCGGTTTCCGGATACCTCTTAAGCTCCGAGATCCTGAGCTGCTGAAGCAAGTTCCCAATGAGCTTCAGATGTTGCGCAAACTGCCTGCAATTCTTCTTGTGCAATCGAGCTGTACTCGCAGCTTGCACAATCATCCCAATTAGTCGCACGGCGTCGATGCCCGTGAGCTGGGCCACATTTGCAATCTCCCCAAAATGTTCCCAAGTTGCCATCTTTAACCTCTCAGATCAATCAATGGTCACCAAAACCCTTCCTTGCTCAACTCTACAACATATACATTTCTCAGATCAATAGATTAATCACCTAATTGACAACTCTTGATCCAATTTCTCAACTGTGGAGGTATTTACCTTTCGTTTTCTTCCTTTACAAACACAAATTTATCAGGAAAATGTAGGAAAATTCAGAATTTTCCACTTCAAGTACTAGTAATTACTAAACCAAACTTTTCAACATTGCCATAAAAGTCCAAGCTTAAAGTGAAGTCCTCCACTTGCAATACTGTAACGGAAAGGAACTCTGACTACAATCTTTGATTCCAAGCGAGATCAAAAGCTTCTTCACAGAATCTTTTAAGAAATTGAATTCAATGCGAGATCTTTGAAGATAACTCTGGAATTCAATTCAAATGCAACGAAATTCACCAAATCAAACAACAAAATCTCAAAAATTATCCTTCACGTTTCTTCACTCTCTTTCTCTTTTCTTTTTTTTTTTTTCTCTCAAAAAATAATAAAAAATAATGATATTGATTTTAATTAATCTCTTCAACAAGAACAAACTATAAAAACAAATTAAATTAAATTAAAATTTAAAAAATAAAAAAACCTAGTAAGCTCACCAATGTCAACTTGAGACCGTCGGTTGCCTTACTCTTCTTCGCCGGAAAATCCAGCTACAAACTGTAATAGCATTCAATTATTTTCGATATGAATATATGTGTGACCTATATATATGTATATACACACGTACAAAAAGTGAGTGTGTGTATTCTGTGCGTTAACGACAAAGTGAGTGTATCGCGAGTATTTTACCTCCATTTTCCGCGAAAAAAACTTCCGTTCTCTAGGGTTCCGTAATCACCTGGCTTTATTTTCCTCCGTGATTTGTTGCTTTTAATGAGCGAATAAACTCAAAAAACGTGAAATCGATAACAACAAGGACATAAAATTCTAAAATTAGCAGACATTGCTTTGCGCAAAAGAGCTTCTTTAATCTCTGAGCAGATTTTGGAGGATTTGATGAGTTGCAGAGAGAAAGAGACTCAAATCTCTCTCTCACTCCTCACGGCTTCGGTGTCTTTTGTCTCTGCTCTGTTCTGCAGAGAGAGCACACTCTCTCTCTCTCTCTCCTCTATTTCTCTCTCTAACACAGTCTCTTTCTTTGGGTTTGAGTGCACATACTATACCAGACAAGCATGCATTTACTGGTGGACCGGTAGTAAACTGAAATGTCTAAAACATCCTCAATGTTTCTTATATATTACGAGAATACCGGCGATCTTCACGGGGTTGTGGTAAAATGCGTACGGGTTGACTCGAGAAATGAAAGTTGTTTTTGGTGGAGAGTTTAAGTGACAGCTGTTCCACGTAATGGAGATGCCCCAACTTTTATCCAACCAATAAAAAATTAAAAATGTGAACATAGTCATACGTGATTAATTAATTTTGACTAAGAAGTTGTAGTAACATGGTAACTGATTGATTGATTAGAGTTTTATGGTGCTAAAAAAATTTAAGAGTTTAATTATCTTTTGTAATTCTTTCATTAATACTATAGGTTTTAATTGTCCTATAAAACAAAATAAACTACCGTTTTAGTACTACCCAGATAAATGAGTTTTAATACTACCCGTGTTTTTTATTTTTTATTTTTTATTTTTTTGTATTAGTAATGAATGAATATTAATTTTTTTTATTTTTAATATTGGTAAAGAATGAATTTTCAAATGTATCTATAATGAGTCATGATTTACATTTTATAAAGTTAATGCAAAAGATTAAATTGAGCAATGTTACAAAAAGATATAATAATTTTTTTGAGTTTGACATTTATTTTGTGATTTTGAAAACCTAACTTTGTAAGATGAGGAGTTTTATTATTATTAATATTATTGTATTGATATGAATTATTAAATCAGTCTATAGTGAATTCACTAATTTAATTTTGTGATTATTATATATAAATGGTGTTAATGACTCATATTTAACATGTGATGGAGTCAAAGTTTTATAGTTTCAAAAAATATAAAGTTGATCAAAATGTTGACGTCCATATGAAAAAACATTGTTGTATTCATTTACCAAAAGGTGTCACTTTTTTGTCATTATGTACCACTTTTTGTGCTACACAAAAAGTGGTACCTATGTGCACAAAATGTGGTACATCTGTGCCCAAAACAAAATGAACAGTATTTTTTCGTGTCCACGTCAATATTTTGGTCAACTTCATTTTTTACAAAATTATGAAACTTTGACTCTATCAAATAGTAAATATAGGCCATTAACACCACTTATATGTAATAATCACTTTAATTTTTATAAGTTCAATATAAGAAGGTTAAATTGATAATGTTACACAAAATAGTATAAGTTCAATATAAGAAGGTTAAATTGATAATGTTACACAAAATAGTACTTTGACTTTTCTAAGGAAATTTAATTTGGGACCAATGGAGTAGAAAAAATTAAAACCTAACAACTAGGGATGCTTCGAATGAGACTTCATATCCGCAGCGTAGGAACGGGCGGTTTTGGGTTGGTGTACCCTCCCCTACCCTCGCAACCGTTTAGAAACTCCCACCCCATTTCCTCTCAAAATTGTTTAAACGGGGCCTTTCCATCCCATCCCTGTCCCGTTTAACTTTTTCAACCCGTGGGCACCCTCTCTATTTTACTTTTTTGACCCACCGCGAGCACCCGCACCGCCCCATTTAGTTCCAGAATTTATCCACATTTTTTTATTTTTTCCCCTCAAATACAAATAACTATTGAAAAATTTCAAAAAAAAAGGAGCTAATTTAACATAAAATTCAAGCGTATAAACATTCTTTTAGTACGTTCATAGGGCTTTGCCGCTCTCTAGAACAGTTGAAAAAGTGACTAAATGTGACCTAAGATTTCTAGAGCTAATTATATATACTAATAAAATAAATATAATTTAGTAATTTACCTACCTAAATGGGGCAGGGCGGAGTGACCTTCTCCTACTCCCACCCAAACTCGCGCGAGTTTTCATTAATAAAATCATTCTCACCCAAATAAATTAAGCGGTTCCCAAAACTATTTTATAAACAGGACGGGATGAGATGGGATGGGTACCTATCCCGTGGAGCAAATTGTCATCCACTAAATACCTACTTTTCAAAAAGATGTCAAAGTTTAAACTTTTGTGGAGACTGCCTTTTAACTAATTCTATCTCAAGATTTGCGGAAATATAATTATTCTGTCACCAATATGCAAAATTTCATACTTCGCCCACAGGGTTGTAGGTGGACAAAATCTAATTGAAATTCATAAGAACATAATAGATGAGCTGTGCATATTAATTGTGAGAGATACTAAAGCTCATTTAGTTAGTTTAGCCTCTATTTTTAGGTGTGGTATAAATGTTAGGTGCTACGTGTGTAAAGAGGAATTACTAAAGTTAGCATCAGCATTGAAACTCGTTTCATTTTTTTTTCTTTTTTGATATAATTTAGACCCTGATGTGTCCCCACAATAATATGACGAACCCTTTATTTTAAATTGGTTTTAAGTTCTTCTTCTTTTTTGTTGGTTTTAAATTTTTAATAATATCAAGAATAAAACCAGAAATTTTTTCTTAGAACCCAAGCAAAATGTGTATACATGTATTTTTTTGACTTAAATTCTGAGGCAAGATTCCATATACATGTATTTTTTTTGCTTGAGGATGAAATTATAAAAATAAAATAAAAAAATGTTGATAATGCAGGAGATAATATAGAGACATGAAATTTTACTGATTTAAAACTTGAAGGAATTGGGCTTTGGCTCTAACTTCTAATTCGATTTTAGTTTTTTTTTTTTTTTTTTCCCTTAATTTGATTTTAGTTTACCTAGTTCTTTTCAAAGTTATAATGTACTTTAAGTAGTTTAGTGGTCCACCTTTGTTTAGCTTATTTGGAATTGTTTCTCTATTGCTTAAAATTGTTTTTATTTTTTTAAAAAAATTACGTTTAGATGTGTTTGGTAATTATTAACAGCGCTTTTAAATACTAAATTTAGTTCAGTAGAGCTTTTAAATGAAATTAGAATTTGTAACTTTTAAAGCCGAGTTCTAACTTTTAAGTAGAGATTTAATATTTTAGGTAACTTTTTTTAATTAATCAATTATGTTCTTTTTTATTTTTTATAAAGACAATTACATTCATTGAATGGAAGAGTGAGAAGAAAGGATAATTGATACATCCATAGAGAAGAAATGAAGCGTTTTTTTTTTTTTTTTTTTTTGTTTGGTTGGATGGAAGAGAATGAAATTTTTTTTGTTTGGTTGGATGGAAGAGAATGAAAAAAAATGACAATTTAATTTTGATCGGTAGATAAAAGGCCGGAAAAATAAATTTTACCATTAAACACATTCCTTACTTTATTTATGAAATTTATTAAATATTTATGAAGGTTATTTAGTAATTGAAAATATTACTAGTACATTCCATACAACTAAGATTTAAAGACCCAAGAGAATACTAGAATAGAGGTACATTAGATACAATTTATTAGTATCCTTACACACGTGACACTTGTTTGTGTTGATTATAATTTATACTTGTTTACCATGTTACTTGAAATCCACGTAAAAAGCTCACAACCCAAATGTAGACATATGGTGAAACTTAGATATAAATTATCAAATTTAAATTTAATCAATAGTCTTTAAATAATTGGGTCTATGTCTATTTGTTTCAAATTCTTCAATTATTTCATGATAAATCTATACCACCAAAATGAACTTATGTTACATGCTACCAAACTTAGCATTAGTGAATTGAAAGTGGCGTGAATTTCATTTTGAATGCTATAATTTATCCATCAATATATTGAGTAAATAATAGACTGTTTATAAGCTAATGCAATTGAAAATTCTGAAGTTGCCATTCGATTAAAATGTTACTTAATAAAATTGAAAATTTTGCATTGAAAAATTCCAATACTTGATTGGCTCAATTAAAAAGTCACTAACTTTTTAAATTTAAAACTTAAAAATAAATTGTCAACTTAGTATAAAATTTTAATTTTTTTTATGACGATGTTTACTATTCAGTGTAAAACTCACATGAATTTTATTTTATTTGTATAAATAAACATAATAATAATAAGTTGTACTACTTTGTTTTCATTTTCAAACCAAAGCCACTCTCAAATTCGGCAAATAAATAAATAAATAAGAATGTGGAGAAAATGAGAAGCTCAAATCACCTTTAGAATAAGTGGAATGATTCATTCCACTGAGTATAAAAGTTTAGGGTTCTAACAATAAGGATGGCTATGATCATACTGAAAATCTCTCTCTCTCTCACACACAATAATATATGACGGCTCTGTGCCTAATTAAATTGGTTTTTTATAATAAGCATGCCAATATAATTGGTGGCGGATGCAAAGAATTATATTAAAGGGACAGATTTGAACAACAATAATATATGATGGCTCTGTGCCTAACTACAATCATACTTATAATCTCACGCACCTATAATTTTAATGCACTGAGAGTAAAAAATGAATTATACGTAAAAGGAGAAATTATTTCATGATCAACTAATCACAATCTAATATGTAAATAAATATGTTAATTTTATTTATATTTTACTTACATATCAAGTTATAATTTACCGTTATCATATAGTAATTCCAAATCATATAAAAATTTCGTTTCTCCGAATAATACAATGAGTCAAAATCAATCATCTTTTTCATTTGTCTTTCTTTGGTAAACCATCATTTTTGTTAGGAATTAAACTTTATCTTTCCCTCTCTTTTTTCTTTTTCGATATTTCTCCTACAAATTAGTTAGACAGTTTACAATAAAAATGTTAGGGCCACTGCCAAAATCAGATTCATAATGTGTGTGTAAAGTTAGACAGTGTTTGGTTGATTGATTATTAACAACAAAATGAATGGAGAGAGAGAGAGACAGTTGGCAAGGTAATAATATATTGAGGTTGGATTGTCCAGGTCCATCTAGAGAGAGAAAGGGCAAAGGAGTCATTTAGTGTTCGACTACAAACAGGAGGGCGCATATTCCAGATGAACAACCATTCTCGGGCAACTGCCAGGTGGGCCCACATTAATGTGGACAGGCACATGCCATCCATAACACGTGTCATCTTCCTTTTTCTTGCATCTATTGTCTTTGTCTACCCGTAACCC